TTACCCCCTTCTGCATATTTCAAGTGTGTAGTTTTTATCGTTTTATTTAAGTTCTTTTCTTTATGCAGCAGTTGCAGGGCTAGGCTGACGCTAGCTGTTGCCCATTGTATGACTTTTTGCATGCATGGACGACGACCGGCTGTCTTTGCAGATTGGTATATAAAGTGAAGTAAGGAAAGGAGAATGGGAGGATCTGGGGCTCGCCCACAGCCATTTCGCGGGAATTTTCGCCATATTGCTGGCCCCTTGCTTCCTCTCGTGACCTTGTGACGGCGCGCGGCGATAGATAGCTTTGCACATGGGCTTGGCATGTGTTTTTGGGCTGCAAGAGTCGGCGAGTTCAAATTACTGGTGTGCCGGGGGGACGCTTTTTCTCTCTCTTTTTGAACTGTCATCCGTGTCCCCTTTGGAAATCGCCGTAGTGTAGCCTGCCTGGGTGCTTCAGCATTTTCTGCGGGCGTGCTTACATGCTAGCTTTGATTCCATATGATAAGCTGAACAGCGGTGCCTAGAACTCAAGCATGGTTTTACTATGCAGAGCCGCACTTGCCGGAAGCTTAAGCATACAAGATTCGCCCTAGCTCTCGTGACCAGGCCCAGCGGTCGTTGCAGGTGTGCACAAAATAACTGCGAGGGATCTCAAGCGTCGTGTTAAGGCTTGCCATTTCCAGCTGCGACGTGCTCGCGTTTTTCCTGTTCGGTGTACATTCTTGTGCGGGAGCCCTTTGCTCCCTGCAGCCTTGGAGCGGTCGTTGTGCTGTGTTCGGGGTGCTGCCAAAGGCAATAAAGTGAAACTCGCTTCAACAAACTCTGCTACAGTGAAATATCTGCTTCAGCGAATGTTTTTTGATTCCCCGCCCGTATTCCATAGGTTCTAATGTATTAAAACTTCCTCCACAATGAAACACTTTTTTATTAATCTCTTGTTTTATTGTAATTTTCTTGAGACACAAGTTACTCGCCCTGCCTCAAATCGAATCATGCTAACTAGTAAATTGAAGAAACAACACTTTTTATGCTCAAAAAGGCATGAAAAAGAAGCATGCACGACAGTGGCTGTTCTTGCATTTATTTATTATTTTTCTTGGTGCTGTCTTTTACTGGAAATTCTTATTAGCTGGGCCGCATTCAGAGCATGCATTAAACATTTTCTTGGTTATTTGACAGCTAAAAAGATCATAAACACCCCAAACTTGACTTGAGTCCTCATAACTGGCCAAATGCTGCAAAACCACTATGGGGGATGCCATCGTTTGCTGTTGATGATGATGCTCCACAGCATTCCATGAAGCATAGGGTTATGCCCTGAAGGCTTGCGAGCTTAGCCAGCCAAAGCTGAGCGGAGTCTACATGTTGGGTATTGGATGCTGGCTCGTCTTTTTTTTTTAATGACGATAGTCTTTCTTGAAGACCTTCGACGCCAAAATTTTGGTCTGTTTTTGTGTCTGTCTGTACATTTGTCTGTTTGTCCGCGTTAATGATCTTTCTAACGGCACCAAACGATATCTCAAATGGCCAACCTCATCCACAGCGCCCACCAATGTTGCTCAAGTTTCAGCCTTCATACTTGTGCGATTGTCAATTAAAAAGCAATTATTGCCCATATCTGAGGCACCATAACAACACGTCGGTGTTTTGTATGTCTGCCTTTCTACTAGAGAAGGCACATACAAGTAATTCTAAGAAATTACTTTTGTGTACTTGTGAACACAAGTAATTCTAAGGAAGTACTTGTGTGAATTGCTTGTACACTGCGCTGACAGCGCAACGCAATGCTCAAAAAGGCAAGTGTCACCAACGCTTCGCTAAGACGACACGGTATTGGCACCTGCCCGTCGTTTTGCGTTCTACACTTTATCGCCTCTAAGACAGGCATGCATCTTTCTCCGTGGGTGCGCACGCTTTCCTTCGTTTTTAAAGATAACTTCCAGATGGCGCTCGTATCTAACGTGCCTCGATGCGCTCGTTTGCCTTCGCTGCACGGATCAAAACTCTCTAACGCAGCGCTTCCAAAATACAATTCACCGATTTTCTCGCGCCGAACATAAAATAAACGTTTTGTTCACCCTCTCGACACGCAAGATCATCTTTCGATGACATTGGCAGTGAAACATGCAGATATGGGGCCAATATTTTTTCTTTTTTTTCATGTGTTCTGTGGCGTTAGCAGTGCTAGTCCTGGTTAGTCTCTGCTTCAGGCCTTGTCTCGTCAGGTCAGTAGATCAGTAGTCCAGTGCCTTGTTATCTCCGACTTATGTATTTTTTTTCCTTGGTTTACGGCAGCAAGGGCTTTTGGCAGTGCCACAGAGTAATAAGCGAAAGTTTTTTTGGCTAGAGAAGAAGGCGGAAATAATTGCCGTAGTAGCAGCAGGATGAGAAAAAGTGATGTATCGCTGAGGAATACGGTATGGCATCGAGCTCGCTGTCGGTGATGCTGAAGTCCGAAGCGAGCATCTCAAATGCACTAGCGTCAGGCACATCTACCTAACGGAAGAAGGCGACCCAGCCAGCCCTTGAAAAACTTGGCAATGCAGTGCATATTTGTGAAACAAGCGCCAAGAAAATTGAAACAATGCTGCTGAAACTTTTCACTTTTACTTTCTATGCACTCCAACCGCCCGCGACGTATGCGCTCAACATAACGGGAAGATACCGATGAGCGGTATCCTAATTCAGCAGACAGCACTGATCTACGCCTGCATTTTAGGCATCAACAAAGACTTTAATGCAAGGAGCGCCATGATATTTTCAGGAAGGTGCTGTGCAGAGAGTCTGCTTCTGCGGACTGCGACGGTGCACCATTCTGGATAAATGCGAAAGCTGCTGACATCGCCAAGAAGTATGCTGTGTCTGACGTGTACAATGGGGATGAGGCCGGGCTCTTCTGTTAAATGCTACCAGCAAAGACACTTGACTTCAAAGGCAAACAGTTCCACGGAGGCAAACAGAGCAAAAAGCGAGTCACGGTGTTGCTCTGTGCAAATATAGACGGGTCCGACAAACTGCCCCTTTTAGTTATCGGCAAGAGCACCAAACTGCGGTGCTTGAAGGGCATGAAAAACCTGCCAGTGAAGTATGTTGCCAACAGCCATTCATGGATGACGAGGGTCATTCTCACCGACTGGATCGTTGCGTTCGACAATGATATAAAAAAGCAAGACAGCAGTTTTTGCTTGCTGCTGGTATTGCTCTGCACATCGCCTAGGCAGCAACGTCAAGCTGGCGAACGTTGCGGTGAAGTTTTTTCCACCAAACTGCACGTCGCTGGTTCAGCCTTTAGATCTAGGTGTCATCAACAGCTTAATGCACACATATCAGGATTGTCTGATACAATCAATAGAAAAGCTTCATGATCAGGCTGCACTATTTGTCTTTAGTCACTACGATCCTTTTCAAGTGTCACTGAATCAAAAACATTACAGTGATGGGAAAGTTTAGCAGCTAGAAGAAAAAAACCTTAGGCTCAAATTTTTCCACCATATTTTTTATAATTAAACAGGCATTGACAGTCGCACCTACCTGTCAGAACCATCCTATGTTTCCTTTAGGCCCAACCACTCCAAGAAAGTACACGCGTTTAGTTGCAACGCAAATACTTTTTCCAGCTCTTTTTTCCCACAAACTGTATGAGATTGGAACGTGCTACCGAAAAACTATGTTTCTGTATATGGTAATCATAATTTTTTTCAACTTTTGTGTTCATTATAATGTATAATACTTTTTTTTTTAGTTTTCAGTTCATTTTCAACATGCTAATTTACTGTTTACCTTGATGGTGGCCTTGTTTCACATCTTTTTGTTGCTTGTCACTGCGAAATATGTAGAATGTGCTACTAAACGTGTCTTTCCTGCGATAATGCCTTTGAGGCATCCCAGGTATACTGTAAATAAATACCAATCAAGTCTTCTTTAATGAATTGTGTTGAGCACGGAGCATGGCCACGACAACAAGGCCGACTTAGTTATGACTGTGCAAATTTTGGCTGCCGCATGAGTGTCAATAAATGTATTGCGCATGCGGGGTTTCGGCCGGCAGAGATGAACTTGGCCAGCTCAAGTGACGATGTATAAGCTGCCAACGGTGTTGAACCGGGACAAGACAGGAAAACTTCTGCAGCATGGGCAGCTTTCGAGGATGCTGTCATTGTACACGAGAGTGTAACTGAACGATTAGGTTAATGCCAACGCGGATGTGATCGTGTACGAGGAGCTGAGTGATGCTGAAATCCTCAAGAGTGCTTGCACAGCTATCGCCACTGCGGATTCATCGGACGATGACGAAGCCGCGCATGGTGTTCAGGTGGCCTCTAAATCAGGGACCGTGTTGCAGGTCATGGACTCCTTGGACATCCTGCATCATTTTCTTGACGCCTATGACAACGATGTCGTCGTGAAGCTCCTCACAGAATGTGAGCAGCACATTCTGCTGTTGCTCGTGTAAAAGTGCAAGCAGTAAAAAATAAGCGATCTTTGTAAGTTTTAGAAATAAACTGATCCCCTGAGTGTCGTGCATATCAATTTTTTTTATTTACCACTTTTTCTGCTCCCACCAAATTTCTGCTCCAATGAAATTTTTCGCGATCCCCGTGAATTTCGTTGTAGCCTAGTTTGATTGTAAAGAGTTTGTGTGTGTTGTTAGATTGAATACTTGGCCTTTTTAAGGTCTGCAGTATTCCTGAATAAATAATATAACTACATTAAAAGAATTCACATTGACGTTTACCGTTCTATAAGCATGCATAGCTTGAATGGTTCATCATCCTCTTCTTATTTTGAGCTATTTAACGGTCATTTCAAAGAAGAATGATTACCAAGTTGATTTTTCTGGGAGCATAACCTTCTGAAGTGTAACTGGTTGCTATTCATCTTGGAAACCATGCTTTCAAGCTTTAGGGCATTATTTCGTGTTTTCAAAGAATCCAGTAGCTCTTGTGTGAATTTTTAAAAGCCTCGTCTTTCTTGAGTTCATTGTTAAGGGAAAATGAAATGATGATGTGCAGGTGATGCTCTTCTGGGAGCATGTTCGCAAGGTATGGTGCGCTGCTTGGTGCTGCCTCTGTGCCAGCTTCCGCAGGGGTTGCAGGGACGGGCAGCTGCCCTGCTGGCTCGCCTGACCACCCCTCTCAGCGAGGAGGGCTCCCCATGCACTGCCCCGTGTGCACTGCCGTCCAGCCACCCCCTAGTGGCCGGGGCCCTGTTTTCTGCGCAATGTCTGCGTGTATCGCCTGCCGTAAGAGGCTTGGAAGCGTTTATTGACACGTTCTGACAAAGACGCCTGCTGTACAGAAGCCCAAATTTTTAACTCTTTTGCACAATCGGCAGTTTTTTTTTGTGCAGTATACAGTTGAGCCCGCCTATAACGAACCTGAGCGTGACGCGGCATCCGTTCGCTGTGTCCCGAAGTACGTAGTAAATGAAACACAGCTTTTAAAAAAAGTTGCGAGTGCAAGCACAAACTTTTTGCCCCCAAAAGTCTATGATGCACGTGTTTCGAAGAGCAGGAGCGATAAGGGCGGTCTCGAGTTCATTTAAAACGGCAGGGTGCTCGTTCGCCGAGGCCCGTGGCATAAGCTGCATGCATCACTGGCTCCAAAGTTTCGTTCGTTCTCGCAATCCAATTCCTCAAAATCGCTCTTGTCACGTACTTCATTCACAATGCCCCAATTCATGCACGGTTCCGCAGTGTCGGCATCATCATTGTCCATAATTAAACCATCACAACAGATGTCCCACCCGCTCTCCCAGGTCGAAGTTGACGACGCGCTGCCACAAATCGCTGCCGCAGTGGTCCTGTTCGGAAGCTTCAGGCTCGGCATGGGGCTCGACGTTGACGAAGTCGGCCTGTCAAAAACAGTTTCGCGCTCATGTAGCCGTCAGCACCGCCCACTAAATATTCACCATCTCCATGCCGGGATGCCCGAAGCGGCAAGTTGGCTGCCAGGTGGTCAACAGCTATAAGCAAGCACTCCGCAACGCGGCATCTCTAACGCGTGGATTACGGTCAAGCCAAGCGGTTACACTTCGGACGTTTTGTTGAGTGGCAGGGGAAAGCGTGCTAGTCCTCCCGTAGGCCATCATGACTACACACGCATACCAAGAGCGAGCAAGACGCGCACATGCGACACACATGCCACAAAGCATCGAACGGCTCTGGGCTCGTTTTCAGTCGGAAAATGAAACTAATTCGAGCCAGCATGGCGGGCGTCGCAGAGCGGAGGAGACGCGCGAAGGGGTTGTGATTAAGAGGGGAGAGCAGACTTGCGAGAGAAGAGCAAAGAGTTGTGATAAAGAGAGGGAAGGATGCGGCGGGAGGGCGACCTTGAAACTCAAAACACACGGGAAGGAGGCAGGTTGGGTAGCTTGCTTGGAAGGTACGCGAAACTCGCACATAGAAAAACTTGGAAAGAGTGCCTGCGCGCACAAGTCAAAGCATGTCCGCCTGGACCGGTGCGCGCGGCGGTGTTCAAAGAATTGGCTGCCGTGGTCAAGAAATTGTTTTGTTCCCTCGGAGAGCTTGCGTGGCGTCACAAACTTCGATATTTCGGGATTTGTTCCGTGCAAATTAACAGCCGTTTTCGCGCTCCCGCAAGCGCGCGGAAGGCATGCTGAGTTGAGTGCGAAGTGAGCGAGAACAAGTCCTAAACACGAAACGAATCGCGAATTATCAGACTCGGTGGGGTAGTGTACGTGCGTGCACTAGACGCAGACTATCGGATACAGACGGTGGCGGACGATGTTGGCAAATGGTCTGGTCACACCAGGCCGGCGACGCCAACCACAGTACTAGCGATCAAAAACAGGGTAGATGGCTGACGAGTATTCAAAAGATCGGTGGCAGTGTGAAAACACGAGCTTCGTCTGGCGATGAGGGATGCTCAGAGTAGCGGGGGGACAAGGGACGGAGGGGTGCTTAACAGAAAGCAGTCGGGGCATGGAGGAAGGAAACAGCTTTCCTTCCTTCATCGGTTGGGGAGAGCGGAAACTAGAGGGTCGCGGAGGCAGGGCCGGCGTTTAACAATAAGAATGTATGCCAACTCGCCGATGCCTAATCGGTGGTCGAAATTGGTTTCCCAAGAAGTCAGCAGACCGCTGACTCCATTCACTGTAACCGATCAGTGGCGCTCAGAGATGTTCGTTGTTAGTGCGACTTTGTGCCGTTAAACCAATGTATATTTTCACAGTCACACGGATATTGTTCGTTTTAAGCGTAAGTTCGTTTTAAGTGGAGCCATTGTATGTGGGCTCGACTGTAATGGGATTATGTTCCAAAAAGGGTGAGGACAAGTGCATGCCCACGAGGCACTTGCTCGCAAAACGATTTGTTGCAATTTTGTTTTTACATATGCAGGGGTGCATCAGCTGCGCCAATAATGACAATTTGATACAGTTACCAGTTTTTTGCTCCGAGCTGCACCAAAACCACGAAATTGGCTGAAAATATTTCATGCTGCGTCAACATGCCTGACTGGCCTCAAAATTTTCTAAATTACGCTAATTTCAGCGAGAAATGGAGGCCACGTTGGCCACTTGCAATTTGAGTCAACAATGAGTCCAGGTCGGCAGACTCTAACACTGCATTGCGGTGTAAGATATATGCACATTAACTAAGGACACTCGCAAGACGCAATCCACCAGATAAAGTAACAGCGCTACATGCCTCCCCCCCCCCCCCCCCCCCCCCGGTTTGATTACCACAGTGGATACCTATCGGCCGGATGACCCTACTTCAAGAGAAAAAGGTGTTGCCATAGTCACCAATGCTTCTTTCGAAACATGAATTTCCTATTCAGCAAGTGTGGCAATGGCAGGTTAGCAACTGGAAATGTGTGCCGCGTTTTCTGCACACGAATGAGCTCAACAGGCTGGGAACATTGGTGTTGCCGTTGACTACGTTGAGTGCGATAGCAAAGGGATATAAATAATTTTTCTGTCATAAAGCTGCATCGTCCCAGCGATAGATATATCTATCGCCGAGATGACGCAACCTCAAAACATCCAGTGCCTTTGCCAGACTCAGTGGGTGTGCGGCATCGTTACTTTGTCTGGTTCAACACACCTTGCAATCAAGATGAGAACTTGTGCCCTAAACCCAACCCCTTCATTAAAGGAGAAAATAAAGGGGGTTGAAGGGTGTAGCGGTGTCCAAAAATTCTTTGGCTTTGTTCTAACTCGTGCAGAACACTGTTAAGCGACCTTAGCCGCAGTACACTGGTATGGAAAAGTGTCTTAAGATTTATAAGGGGCTGTTCGCACTGGTTACGGGACACAGCACAATTTGTTCAATTATTCATACGTGTATATGCCACATAATTGTGAGTATTAGTATAATGGCTGAAGTAAGTAAAATACTGGCAATCATTTGGAGCATTGTATGATATTTCTGCTGCCCTTAAACTGTGAGCCAGTTTTTTTTTATACCTACACCTCTGTTTTACTAATCCGCCGAATTTCAAGGTCGCCAGCTTGGCAGATCCACATTGGAATTTGAAAGGTCTGTCAAAGGATTTGACAGACGCGGCAAGTGCTAATGCGAACTTAATCATTTTTTTGCTCTGTGGGGTTGTTCAAATAATACCTTTATTAAAATAGCAGTGCTCATGCTCACTCCTCACGATTTAGGTGATGTTGAGTTGTTTGTACATAAAGAGGAACACCAATTATACGACTTTCAGGGGACCACGCCAAACCGTCGTATTATCCGGGCGTCGTATAATCAAAGATCTAAGATCTTGAGCCTTACCCAAAAAATGGTTACAGACTGCCTGAATAAGCCCACGACATGACCTTTTGCCTCCGCCAGGAAGATAGATTAAATTATTCTTGCCAGTGGCAGCTAATGGTAGCCTTACTTAGTTGAAAGAGGTGTGAGCGAATCTTTATTCTCGATCTTTAAAAATTTGCATCCAACATGCAGTTTTCTACCGAATAATGGAGTCTGAAAATTGCCTGCGCGTGGAAACGAAACCGAAACCATGTAGCCAACCGCCTCCTGTCATAAGAGTTTGACACAGTGTCATTGCTATCACATAATGGCGACAGACCACGAGTGTAGTGCTTAAGTTATACTGGCTAGTGTGCTGAGCGGAGGGGTTCACAATGAGAGGAAATGTCACGACTGGCGATGCCTTCGAACTTTGGCCGTCAGGTGGCGCTGCTTGTCGCTAAAGTGCAGCCAGTGCAGCTCGTGCACTGCCAGTGCGTATACGTGTTGCCAGTGTTGCCTTTGCGGAATTGTCAGTTCTCTTGTGTTGTGTTGTCAGAAGATGTATTAGAGACGTGTGCGTTGTTTAATTGCGATAGCAATTATATGGACAGTCTCGGCTGCTTTTTGCCACCGCCGTCATTAACGTATGTATATATACAGGAAAGGATGTGCTTGCCCCCTCTTTCTGCGGAGCGAACACCGCCTTTCCAATTGGGGTCGTCTGCGGACACGCTTATCTCGTGAGTGAACAAGGAATGGGGAGGGCGCTTATGGTTGCTACGCTATCGCAGCAGCAATCAGCGCGTGGCTTGTGCCTCTATAGCAGGTGGGAGCTTCTACGGTCTGTGCTCTCAACTCGAAAAACCCTGCCAAAATTGTACCTGGAGGGGCCGTGTTCTCTTGCACCAGCGTTTTGTAGAGCTATGCGAGAACGGATCTAAGCGAGTTGACTGCCAACCTCACTTCGTATGACATTGTAATTTGTCGCTATGGCTGCGCTGCAGGAAGCTTGTTTACTTAGCAAGCGCATGTTTACTACAATTAATATTGCTCCTAAAAATGCTAGTCTTGCTCCGTAAAACATTTGATAAAACTGGTATCACAGTCATTGCATTGCTCTTTAGGCAAAACTGTGACTTTTTAACGTGTTTGCGCTGTTCTTTGTGTCACTGAGGGCCACAAACACGTGATGCAATGAAAGAGGCATCAGGGCAGGCTTAAAACGTGCGCGTAGGTCAAGTTGTCCTTTGCTCAAGGCAGCAATTACATTGTAATTGGGTGGTAATACGAAACTAGATAGGAGCTTGTGTGGGAATATATAAGATCATACTTTATAAATGTCTATGTCATGCTAATTGAGGCTTAAATATCACAAGGCGGACTGAATAGTTGTGAATGTTGATTGATTTAAGTTTTTAACGTAGAAAAGTTGAGTTTTATAGTGTGGGCTGTGTCAGTTTTCATTGAAATTGAATCATGATGTCATCACCTGAGTTTTGTTACATTGTATTTTATTGCTGGACGGACTGAGAGTTTTTATTAGTGGGGCATATAATTCTTTTGCATAAAAATAAGAATGATTGCATACTTTAAGAAAATCGCACTAGCTTCTGAAAAAAGCCTACCTGTTTAATATTTCATTAGGAAAATTGATGCTGTCTGTGGAATAAGAGAGTGACATCCAGGTGCATTGTACGCAGGCTTGCCTGGAGCGTTGGCGTTGCCTTCGGTGTGTGCTGCCTGGTCGTGATGGAGCCCTGTTCAGTCTACTTGTGGCATCCTCGACCCTTGTCAGCAGCAGAACACCAAGCGAGGCTCAGCTGTCTCTGGAATTACTTCGACAGGAGGTCGATGCATGTGCCGAGCTGGTGGGTCTGCCACATTTTATGCAAACTGGTGCTTACTGTAGCATGAGTTATTCACCATGCTGTCCAGGGCAAATAATGTTATGTGTATCAGGGCAAATAATGTTTTGTGGCAGAGCTCTTATGGTACACAGTGGATTGAATAGTCCTGAAAATATTGTTGCGAATCTTCTATCCACTGACTGTTGCAGCTCAGCTATACATAAGGCTGCTATTGAACAAATGTGAAGGGACCTGAAAAATGTGCAACAGGAGTTTCATATACTGATAGATGAACAGGGGTGCAGTTTTAAACTACGAAACTACTCATTCAGAGGCAGTGGCAGGGAGGAAAAACTCTGTATGCCTTCCGTAGGATGGGCACTCTCATAGCAATAAGTGGCCGCAGCGCAGCCTCCGCCACTGGCGCCCTGCTGGGTATTCTACTAGAAATAATCCACCGACACTATTCTTTCATGACGTCACTGGTAAGGTCAGCAAAAAGAGGGAAAGGGTGTAAATTGGTGAAAGGAGGGTTGTGTGAAAGCCCTCCTTTCCCACTTCGCACGCAAGCGTAAATGTGTTCGTACTGTCTTGCGACGTCCTCTGGCTGCTCGGGTAACACTGCCATTCGTTAAATTTAGTGAACCAATTTTAAATGTTGTGAAGTGGACAAACAAAAAACAGACCAATTTCGTGGACAAAACTGGATAAACACAAGTTAAATTAGTTCTTTTTTATACACACTTGTCGTACTAAAAACAAACAGACACATAGTGTGAAGAGTTAGTAGCTTTATTTCACAACCTAAATATGTACATAATGAGCTAACACTGATCTAAGAATATCTGAACCCGTTAAAAAATGGTTAAGATTCATAAGCAGGTCTTGTCGTACTTGACTGAATTTCGTTTATTATGACACCTAACATCAGGGTTCATGAGAGTCCTTGAAACCCCTTCAATGTCAAAAGTTCATTTTCAATGTCCTGAAAGTTCTTGAATTTTCTTTTTCTTTTTATTTTTACTAAACACTTTCTAACCTTTCACCAACCAATATTCGTGATGCTGTAAATGAAGCAGGTGGCATATGTAATGTGCCGATCATAAAAAAATTGAGAACATCACTAGCTTCTGCAAGGAACCAGCACCAAACATTTTTAATAATCATATTTAGTGTTTCACGTCCCCAAACCAGTAGAATATGAAAGATGCCGTATTAGAAGGCTCCAAAAATTTTGATCGTCTGGGGTTCTTTAATATGCACTGACATCGCACACTGCACGGGCCTCTATCGTTTTTCCTCCATTGAAATGTAACTACCGCGATTGGGATCGAACCTGCGACCGTCGTGTCTGCAGCCGAGCATCGTAATGACTGCTCCACCGCGGCGGATAACACTGTGCTTTAGGAAACTAGCAAGAAACAGGAGCAGGGGGATTAGAAAAAAAAAAAAGTTGCAATGAGGAGGAGGTTGAAACGCTTACAAAAACGAAAAAGAAATTAGAAGTCACTGTTACAGAATTAGCAGCTACAGCAGACTTATATGCAGGAAAGGAAGAGGCACCTAGCTACCTGACGTGCATTATCAAGTCAAATAGCCTCAGGAAGACTGCCAACACCAAGCAGCAGGAGATAGTGGACATTGATATGAAAATTCAGGAGAAGCAGCCAGGAGTAGCATTATAATTGTTCCTGAGCTTTGCTTATCTGAATAAAACTTTGTATCTAGTGTCATACTGAAAGCATTGATCTATGCGCCTCTAAAAAATTTATATCGGAGCCATGCTTTCGGTGTTTGCTCCAATGATGTAACCCTTTTTTGTTGAATTCTAGTTATTTCAAGCCTACATCCTCTTCTGAAGATGTGTCACTGAGGTTTCTAACAAAGTAATCCTTGAAAATTCACACATGTAGCCTTGAATTTCTGTCACGTCAACGAGTATAAACCGTATAACATATATTCTTTCAGAGCTTGAGTAACCAAACGAGACAGAAGGTCGGGGGAAGATAGAGGCATAAAGTGATGAAACAGTTAAACATGAAATGCCATAACAGAATGCTTTCACTAGCTGACTTCTTTTCATCAACGCATTTCCTTTAGGAAGACTTGTCAATACGATGGTGCCAGCAACATTCCCTGTTCAACTATTTCTCGAAGCATCAGTGGGTCCATTACACGTTCTCATGGACAGTATTAGAAGCAAAAACCCACAAAGTTTCTAATTGGCTATATGCATTTCCATGAATAGGAAGGAGTCTATAATTGCTTCACATCATTTCAACTACATGCCAAAAGTAAACAATGAATAAATTATGTAGTAGCCGAGTCAACACATATTCAAGCTTTTTAGAAAACATTTATGAGCTGCAGATATGGCAAATCGGTCTGGCGACATTTTGCTTATGTCAGTGCAGTCAGGCCTGCAGAGAGCCGGGTTTACTCATGCAAAACTAATACCTGCTCAAATAACGGAATCAAGTAATTGTGCTCTCCCGTTGTCATTTGGAAACCTCAAATACCTTTGCGGAACTGGAATTTACTAGGTTAAGGGGGGACGTGGCAATGGGAATTGTAAATTTCGTCAAAATCAGTTAATTTTCTTCTGTAATCCTTTGACCATGTTTTACATCATACAGTGAAATCTTGGTATAGCGAACTTCGGGGGGCTGCAGCAATTCGTTCATTATTTTGGGAGTTCGTTATATTGAAAGCCCAAAAATTAATCATAAATACCTATTTTATACTGACCTAAACGACTTACCTTTACAACGGTGGGTCCTTGAACTTGTTTTTCACACACACACACACAAAAAAAAAACGCACAAGTGAACACTAAAGAATGCACGTGTACTTTAAAGAAGTCTGTGATATTTTTTTTTTTTTGACGCGTGCAGCAGAAACTTTGCAATGTGAAGGCCTCCAGCTCATCCACATTCCTGTCGAGCGATTCAATTCTTTGGTCACAACAGCCTGCTTTTTGTCTTCCAGTTGCCGAATAATATCCACTTTCTCGCTTAGCAAAAACTGCTTCCGCTTCTTTGTTGCAAGCAGAGATGAACTCATTTTTAGTAGCACCGTGGCGCGAACGCAGACTTGCTTTGCGGGCGCGATAAGTAATCACCGAAAAGTAGGCTTGTGCAAATAGTGATTTTGATTGAATAATTTCGAATCAAATTCGAATGGTATGTATGACATATAAAAAAAGGAAATATTCATCATTACCCAACTAACCTGCTCAATATTATTTCTTTTGAATAGAAATAGAAAATCTATGCAAATGCCATTTTCTTTTTCATCCAAAGGAAGTCGAAACAACCTTGAGTAGTAGTTTTAATAGGATGCGAGTGATAACCTGTAAGATACCGAACGTTTTAAAATTTATTATACTTGGATCATGTAAGCCATCATAACAAGCTTAATAAAATGAAGAATTGATTTGAGGGTAACATGTTCCTTTAAAGGAGCTCGGCAACACTTTTTCAATTAGCCATGGAGCCAGTAAACATGCTTGTTGCCTCACAAATTTACCGCCGCAAAGTTTCTAGAATCGGTCCAGTACGAGCGGAGTTCCAAAAATTTGCCGCACGCTGCAATTGCATTCTCTCTTCTCGTCCGGACAAAGTAGCTGGAAGCTAAGTAGGGTGGAATGGCACGGCGAATGAAAATACGTTCCACGCACCTCGTGACATTGAGCATCTTTTTTTTTTCTTCGAATACGCAGCTGCTTTTCAGTGCGAACCGCGCAAGTACTTACTTGTGGACAAGCGGCGGCCTCCCGTGGTGGCTTCGGTAACGATGAGCGCGCCATACTCAAATCAACCAATGGCTGTGACCAGAGCCGTATATTCCTTCTTGGCTGTGACTAGCGATTTTTGAGCTTGTAGTGTCACTTGCCGAGAAAAGAAAGCAATTTTTAACTTTGAAAATTTATTGTTAATTACAGGCCGTGTGCTGCGCTATAATATTTGCCTCACGGAATCTCGGTAGCCTCGACTATCGATCGGCAGCATTTTCTGACCATGTTCAGTAAGTGTTGCAGGGCACCTTTAAATTTGAAAAGGGCTTCGCGGCAAAGTGAATTTTTTCTTGATAGGTGCTTTCACGGTTTAGCACTTCTACATTGCAGCGAAACCATCTTTACAGGCTGTTACATGCGGACTAATATACATTCATTCGTTACTTGCGAATACTTTGAAAATATTCAATAATTTAAATTCGAATCGAAGTGAATTCGAATACTCAACTATTTGCTCGAATATTCGAAGCATTTGAATATTCGCACAAGCCTACCGAACAGAGATGAACACGACTGACAAACAAGGCCTTCTAGAGCACATGTAGTAGTGACAAAGAAAGGACAACTTGAAGTGTCGCGGCTGTCATCGCCTCTTCTGAAGAAAAAAAAAGTTCTAAAAAACAAAATTCATCGCGTTTCATCTTCTGCTCTCTTGCTGTCTCAGTTTTTCCGCGCCCATGCTTCTTGCTCCGCAACTCCCACTCTGCTCTCGGCCTCGCTGACCTTGCCCTCCCATGTTACCATAACCCCTCACGTCTGAGCTTGTAAACCTGCAGCGGCAGCTTTTCAACAGAAAGAAAGTTGCCCTTTCGTTTTTTTTTTCCTCCACACCGTCACGTGTCTTCCGAAAAGCAAGGCATCCCTTTGCATTGTCGTCTGATTGCAAAACTGCTCCGGTGGTCGCGACGGATTTCAGAACATGCGTTCGTAGTACTGAGGGGTTGTTAATATAACACGGAACTAAATTAACGCTCGTTATTCCAGAAGTTTGGTATTCTGAAGTATGTAGCAGTGAAATAATTTTACATTGAAACTATTGGCAGTCGGCGCGGAATTTCTGAAAAGTTCGTTAATCTGAAAAGTTCGTTAATGTGGGGTTCGTTCTACCGAAATTTCACTGTAGTGTGATTTTAGATCAAAATAAGTAGTAGAAGTTGAGAAACAAGCATTTTAGTGGTGGGCTGTTGTCAAAAGCCATGAGAAAATTTGGTATAGCAAAATGCAT